CAGCCCCTTGGGAGGCCGAGGCAGGCAGATCTCACGAGGTCAGGAAATCGAGACCATCCTGGCTAACACAGTGAAACCCTGTCTCTAATAAAAATACAAAAAAATTAGCCGGGCGAGGTGGCGGGTGCCTGTAGTCCCAGCTACTCAGAAGGCTGAGGCAGAACTTGCAGTGAGCAGAGATCATGCCACTGCACTCCAGCCTGGGCGACAGAGCGAGACTCCGTCTTTTTTTTGAGACTATAGTCTCAAAAAAAAAAAAAAAAAAAAGATAAAAAGAAAAAAAAAAAAAGATTGGGGAGGGGGTCTCATTTTGTCACCCAGGCTAGAGTACAAGAGAATGAATTTTTTTTAAGACAGAGTTTCGCTCTTTCCCTCAGGCAGTGGTATGCTCACTGCAACCTCTACTCGCTGGGTTCAAGCAATTCTCCTGCCTCAGCCTCCCAAGTAGCTGGGATTATAGGCACCTGCCATCACACCCAGCTAATTTTTGTATTTTTAGTAAACATGGGGTTTTGCCATGTTGGTCAGGCTGGTCTCAAATTCCTGACCTGATGTGATCCACATGCCTCGATCTCCCAAAGTGCTAAGATTACAGGCATGAGCCACCACATCCAGCCAAGACTGAAATTTTTGAGATGAAGTGTCAAGATGTCTGTAACTTACTCTCCAATGATTCACCAGAAAAATAATAAAAGAAAATGCACCAAAATATTAACAAGTGGTGTATACTGAAGAAGGGTAAATGGATATTAATTGTACTATTCTTTCAATTTTTCTTTAGGTCTGAGTATTTTCATAAAGTCAGTCAAGTCCGGCAGCCTTGTAACTCTTGCCAAAAGTCAACTCCTCCATAAATCCCTTCCTAGTTCTACCATTAAACATAGATCTTTTAATCCAAATGGCACTTTGTAGTGGTTACTCCATCTTATTTGTATTTCTATGTAGCAATTATATAGTATTTACAAGTCATGATGAATTGGTCTTTCGTTCTCCCTCCTCCTCCTTACTCCTAGGTTAGGTAAGTTGCTGATGGAGTCCTTTTGTCTCTTACTCATCTTTGAATCCTTTTTAAGTGTTCATCTCATAGGTAATGCTCAATTAATAGCTGAACTAAGCACTACTTTAGATATGCTTACCTTAATATTCTTGCAATCACAGATTATAGAGCTGAGACGCTAAGAGACTTTCAGGAGAGCAAAAAAGACAAGACCTTATAGTTAACAGTTTTTAAAAAACAAGTCTGAAAGCCGTAAAACTTTGTATTTCAAAGGTCAAGAGCCTTCTCAAACGTTCACCACCCCCAGTGATAAGATAAATGCACACAGACACAATTTTGTAACAGTCACTTGGTTGCCACATAGAAGGACCATTTGGCAGTGTATCTAGGCCTGCCTAGTAAAAACAGCCAGGTGCCTATGAGGTCTTCTATGTCATTAGTCTCTAAGTACTTAGTAAAAAGCAGTATTTCAATCTCATGGTTCATTGCTGTAACAGAAAGGGCTGGATTCTATAGCTCAGCAAAGGCACCGGGGAAAGGACTATGCAGTTTTAGGGGAGATCTTGAAGTCTCCTAGCACAACTTTTTTTAAGAGTCAGGGTCTCACTCTGTCACCTAGGCTGGAATGCAGTGGTGTGATCATAGCTCACTGCAACCTGTTTCAAACTCCTGGGCTCAAGTGATCCTCCCAAAGTGCTGAGATTACAGGCGTAAACCACTGCACCTGGGCTATCATATTTTTTTAAAATATCACATCGAGGCCAGGCGCAGTGGCTCACATCTGTAATCCCAGCACTTCGGGAGGCCGAGGCGGGTGGTTCATCTGAGGTCAGGAGTTTGAAACCAGCCTGACCAACATGGTGAAACCCTGTCTCTACTAAAAATACAAAACTTAGCCAGGTATGGTGGTGCACACCTATAATCACAGCTACTCAGGAGGCTGAGGTAGGAGAATCGCTTGAACCCAGGAGGTGGAGAAGGTTGCAGTGAGCCAAGATCGCGCCATTGCACTCCAGCCTGGGTGATAAAAAGCGAAACTCCATCTCAAAAAAAAAAAAAAAAATCATATCAGACCGGACCAGTAGTTAACAATTGGAATTTGATTTATAATAGACAAACATAGTTATCTTCATTTGAGAAGCTTATTGAGCATTTACGTGCCAGGAGTGGGCTAGGAGATACAGTCAACAAACAATACATATTCCCAGTAATAAATTAATTCCAATCCATTAGCCACTCAAAAGTATTTTTCTCCATAGTAATCACCACTGACACTAGGTATAAAATGCTCCAACAGGCCGGGCACGCTGGCTCACCCTTGTAATCCCAGCACTTTGGGAGGCCAGTGGATCACCTGAGGTGAGTAGTTTGAGACCAGCCTGACCAAAATGGAAAAACCCCATCTCTACTAAAAATACAAAATTAGCCAGGCGTGGTGGCGCATGCCTGTAATCCCAGCTACTCGGGAGCCTGAGGCAGGAGAATCGCTTGAACCCAGGAGGCGGTGGTTGTGGTGGGTTGAGATCGTGCCACTGCACTCCAGCCTGGGCAACAAGAGTGAAACTCTCCAAAACAAACAGAAAAACAAAACAAAACAAAAAACACCTCGAAATGTGCAGAACCTTCTAACTAACTTCCTTATTCCAGAAAAGGCAAATCAGATCCAGAAGTTATTTCTCGAGTAGACAGCTAGAAAGCAAGAGTCAAGATCAGAAATGACCAATTGCTATCGAGTTCAGTGTTCCTCTAAGTACTGAAAAGGACTTATGAGTACTTTAAGGGCTCTCTCCCTTTCCTACCAAAGATGTTGGAACCCATATATGTAAATATATTTTGACTTACTGGAGACCAAGTGATGGATAAAAATGAAGTTTCGGTATAGCAAATCTCCATCAACAAAATTAAATGGCAAGGGAGGGGGAACCCTAGGAAAAATATTTTAGAACATTACCATGCATGATCCCTACAGACAAAAGCCTTTATAAATCCGTCTGGCTAATATGGTGACACCCTGTCTCTACTAAAAATACAAAAATTAGCAGTGCATGGTGGTGGGTGCCTGTAGTTTCAGCTTCTCGGGAGGCTGAGGCAGGAGAATCGCTTGAACCTGGGAGGCAGAGGTTGCAGTGAGCCGAGATCGGGCCACTGCACTCCAGCCTGGGTGACAGAGAGAGACTCCATCTCAAAATAAATTAAAAAAAAAAAAAAAGGTTAACACAGTAAGAATGAGCAAAGGCTATGAAAAATTAAAAGTAAATAAATCAATCAATCAGTAGGCCGGGCGTGATGGCTCACACCTGTAATCCCAGTACTTTGGAACGCCAAGGCGGGCAGATCACGAAGTCTGGAGCTCAAGAGCAGCCTGGCCAACATGGTGAAACCGTCTCTACTAAAAATACAAAAAATTGTCGGGAGCGGTGGCTCAAGCCTGTAATCCCAGCACTTTGGGAGGCCGAGACAGGCAGATCACGAGGTCAGGAGATCGAGACCATCCTAACATGGGCTAACATGGTGAAACCCCGTCTCCACTAAAAAATACAAAAAACTAGCCGGGCGAGGTGGCGGGCGCCTGTAGTCCCAGCTACTCGGGAGGCTGAGGCAGAATGGCATAAACCCAGGAGGCGGAGCTTGCAGTGAGCTGAGAGCTGGCCACTGCACTCCAGCCTGGGCGACAGAGCGAGACTCCGTCTCAAAAAAAAAGTTAGCTGGGTGTATTGGCATGCGCCTGTAATCCCAGAGACTCCAGAGGCTGAGGCAGGAGAATCACTTGAACCCGGGAGGTGGAAGTTGCAGTGAGCTGAGATCATGCCGCTGAGATCGCACCACTGCTCTCCAGACTAGGTGACAGAGCGAGACTCTCTCAAAAAAATAAATACATAAATCAGTTTAAAAAAAAAAAAACGCAGTAAGGATGAGCAAAAGTTATGAAAAGTTAGTAACAGAATAAATAAAGTAGCTCTTAAAATATTAAAAGATGGTCGGGCGTGGTAGTTCACACCCGTAAATCCCAGCACTTTGGGAGACCAAGGCAGGAGGATCACTTGAGCCCAGGAGTTCATCATCAGCCAACATGGCAAGACCCTCTCTCTAGAAAAAATAGAAAAATTGGCTGGGTATGGTGGTATGTGCCTGTAACCCCAGCTACTCAGGAGGCTGAGGTAGAAGAATCGATTGAACCCAGGTGGCAGAAGCTGCAGTGAGCTGAGATCACACCACTGTACAGCCTGGGTGAGAGATGGAGACCCTGTCTCAAAACAAACAAGAGATACTGCCAAGTTTTCATAATCCTATGCATTCTATCTTCTCAGCTTTTGTTCCCAGCAGGTTTTTTCATTTCCCCGGGAATTTTAACTGTCGTATTATTTTCCTGCCTACAGTACCTCTTTATGCAGGTACACCCTCTGGGCAGAGAAGCCAGCTATGCTCTTCGGTATTGTCAGCCTGCCACATACATCAAGTTTAGGAATTTTTCTTAAACACAAAGCATTCTAGAAACTTACAAAGAGCAGCTAGGTGTGGTGGCTCACACTTGTAATCCCAGCACTGTGGTAGGGCAAGGCAGGTGGATCACCTGAGGTCAGGAGTCCGAGACTGCCCTGGCCAACATGGTGAAACCCCGTCTCTACTACAAATATTTAAAAACTAGCCAGGCATGGTGGCGGGCACCTGTAATCCCAGCTACTTGGGAGGCTGAGGCAGGAGAACTGCTTGAACCCAGGAGATGGAAGTTGCAGTGGGCCGACAGGGTGCCAACTGTACTCCAGCCTTGGTGACAGAGACTCTGTTTCAAAAAAAAGAAAAAAGAAACTTAAAGAGCTCAGCCTTGAATTATCTACCCCAGTTGACTGTACCAATATTCAAGTAAAATATATCAAGAAGCATGTTTACCAATTTCTCAATTTGATCTTGGTTTTAAAGAATAACAAATGACAGAAACAACTACACATTATGGAACCTTTATTTTTCATGTGATTTCTGTACATAAGGAGTATCAGAGTAACCCTTTTACAAATGGAACTAATTTACTAGAACAATGGCAAAATTGAACTGGTATTTGATGTGAATCCACAGGAGTTTAAGCTTCAAATCCAGCCAAGAACTTTGTTACAATCTCTTTCAGCTTTGCATCTGATTCTTCTGAGATCTTTCCATCAGCCCTATTTGGAAATAAAAGCAGGTCATAAGTTCTGACCTGGACAAAATTTTAATGACTAGCCTAACTACAGATCTGAAAATAATTTTAACTTTATATCTTAAACATAACTTTACAAAACAGGCCAACAATTGCATTCATACCTGATAGTACCCAACAGGGCTTGGTGCTGGCTGATAACATGAGACAAGAAAGCATTCTCAAACTTTGTAATCTTGCTGGGCTCCAGTTTATCAAGATAGCCCCTTACACCCGCATAGATAACAGCCACTTGTTCTTCAATAGCCATGGGAGCTGGAAAGATACAAAAAGAATGCCAAGTGAGTTGCTCAAAGAAATGAATGCCATGTTACCAAAGTCAGGAAAACTTACTTTTTCTCCAATTCCTAACATGTCCCTGAAATTATCTATTCTTCACAATCTCAGTGACCGAGAGCTCCACTTAATAATCCTTCCTCCCTCCCCCGACAGAAAACAGTTATTTCTTATATTTTCAAGGCTTGAAGTATACAATCTTTCAGTATAGTCCATAAGCACTGTTTATAATCTGACAGTATTAATACTGTTTTGGGTATAAATATTTTGCTGAAATCACTTGACAAAATAAAAACATATTAACTTTCTTTTAAATCTGCCAAATTACACATTCATATAGCCAAGTGGGGGAGGGGAATCTAACAAGCCTTAATTCCTGAAAGGCAGACATTATACTTCAGTTTTCCTGGTTGTGAAGCCCCTATCATTTACATTCAAATGACAATAAGAAATGTAGTTTGGGCCCAGGTGGTAACTCACACCTGTAATCACAGCACTCTGGGAATCTGAGGTGGGTGGATCACTTAAGGTCAGGGGTTCGAGACCAGCCTGGCCAAAACAGTAGAGGTTTTACCATTTCTACTAAAAACATACTCCAGCCTGCGTGACAAAGGGAGACTCTGTATAAAAGAAAGGAAGGGAGGAAGGGATGAAGGGAGGGAGGGAGGGAGGGAGGGTGTTAGTTTGGGGCTGGGAATGGTGGCTCACGCCTGTAATACCAGTACTTTGGGAGGTGGGAAGATGGCATGAGGTCAGGAGTTCAAGACCAGCCTAGGCAACACAGTGAGACCTTGTCTCTAACAAAATATAAAAAAAATTAGCCAGACATGGTAGTGCATGCCCGTAGTCCTAGCTACTCAGGAAGCTAAGGCTGCAGGACTGCATGAGCCCAGGAGTTCAAGGCTGCAGTAAGCTATGATGGCACCAATGCACTCAACCCTGGGTGACACAGCAAGACACTGTCTCTGTTTAAAAAACAAGGCTGGGCACGGTGGCTCACGCCTGTAATCCCAGCACTTTGGGAGGCCGAGGCGGACGGATCACAAGGTCAGGAGATTGAGACCATCCTGGCTAACACGGTGAAACCCCATCTCTACTAAAAATACAAAAAATTAGCTGGGTGTGGTGGTGGACACCTGTAGTCCCAGCTACTCGGGAGGCTGAGGCAGGAGAATGGCATGAACCCGGGAAGCGGAATTTGCAGTGAGCAGAGACCGTGCCACTGTACTCCAGCCTGGGCGACACAGCGAGACTCCGTCTCAAAAAAAAAAAAAAAAAAAAAAAATACAGGGCCGCGCACGGTGGCTCACGCCTGTAATCCCAGCACTTTGGGAGGCTGAGACAGGGTAGATTGCCTGAGGTCAGGAATTCAAGACCAGCCTGGCCAACATGGTAAAACCCCATCTCTACTAAAAATACAAAAATTAGCCGGGCGTGGTGGCTGATGCCTGTAATCTGAGCTACTTGGGAGGCTGAGGCAGGAGAATCGCGTGAATCTGGGAGGTGGAGGTTGCAGTGAGCCAAGGTCGCACCATTGCATTCCAGCCTGGGCCACAAGAATGAAACTTCGCCTCAAAAAAAAAAAAAAAAAAAAATCAAAAATCAAAAAACAAATGTAGTTTAAGTAAAAGTGCCTTTGATGAAAGATAACAGATAACAACACATAGTACAGGCTGTGATATGTGATGTAGCTCTGTGGGCCTGAGAAGACCTTGATACACAATAGGAACCTGACCAAACGAAGAAAAGAACAACTCACAATACTGTCCTTGCTTCAGCAACTCAGTTAGACGCACACCACGACTCAAAAGTTGTTGAGTGGCAGCATCGAGGTCAGAACCAAACTGGGCAAAAGCAGCAACCTCACGATACTGAGCCAATTCCAGCTTCATGGTACCTGCCACCTGAAATACAGAAATTACTGTACTGTAACTCAGTGACACAGAGCACTATACAAATATAGTTAATATATGAATACTTTAAGATGCTAATCTAATGATAGCCCCCTTCCTGCCAAGTGAGGCAAAATTACCTGCTTCATAGCCCTGGTTTGGGCAGCAGATCCGACACGAGACACAGACAGACCAACGTTAATGGCAGGGCGGATACCTTTGTAGAACAATTCTGTTTCCAAGAAGATCTATAAGGTAAAGAAATACGCATGCTAGCAAGCTTAAAGTAAGAAATCAGCTATCTTCAAATCTGTCATTATGTCAAAAAGCTGAAACTCAAAACCTAAACATAATAGTCAACATCTTTATACTGAAATATATACAAATGAAGAGATATAATTTCTATTTGATTCAAAATTATCTAAAAGGGAGAACAGTAGTGGTTAAAAATGAAACAAGAATGAAACACACTACTCTATGAAATAACTGGGTGACAGATACGTTGGGTTTCACCATGCCATTCTGCTAACTTTTCTATGTATTTGAAATGTTCCATAATAAAAAGTAAAATGCATTTAGCAAATCAGTTAATATACCATTAGTCTAAACCAATGCCTTAGAATTATCCAAATCTTTTTTTACATTTATTTTAATCATAATATAATACCTGTCCGTCAGTGATGGAAATGACATTCGTTGGAATGTAAGCAGACACATCACCAGCCTGTGTTTCTATGACTGGCAAAGCAGTCAAGGAGCCACCACCAAAAGCATCGTTCATTTTGGCTGCTCTCTCCAACAATCGGGAGTGTAGGTAGAACACATCACCAGGATAGGCCTCACGACCAGGGGGACGGCGCAGCAACAGAGACATCTGACGGTAAGCAACAGCCTATGGTACAGAATAGGTTTGTGAAGTTGACCTATTAAATAGAAGTTGCATATGTGAACTTTCACTGCAGTACAAATAAGTAGATTCTAAAAATACATTTCCTTTGACCTGTTTGGATAAGTCGTCATAGATGATCAAAGCATGTTTGCCATTGTCTCTAAAATACTCTCCCATGGAACAGCCAGAGTAAGGAGCCAGGTACTGAAGTGGGGCAGCATCCGAGGCTGTAGCTGACACCACAATGGTGTACTTCATGGCATCTGAGGAGAAAATACATTTTATGTTTTACAATGTTATCAATATTGTGATTTTAAATTGGAGGCTACTATCAAAATTACCCAAGTGCCAGAAGTATTTACTATTAAGAGTTAATCAGGCTGGGTGCGGTGGCTCATGCCTGTAATCCCAGCACTTTGGGAGGCCAAGGCGGGTGATCATCTGAGATCAAGAGTTCGAGACCAGCCTGACCAATATGAGGAAACTCCGTCTCCACTAAAATTACAAAAGTTAGCCGGGCGTGGTGGCATGCGCCTGTAATCCCAGCTACTCGGGAGGCTGAGACAGGAGAATCACTTGAACCCGGGAGGCAGAGGTTGCGGTGACCTGAGATCGTGCCATCGCACTCCAGTCTGGGCAACAAGAGTGAAACTCTGTCTCAAACAAACAAACAAAAAAGAGTTAATTAGAATCAAACAGCTTCCACTTTAAAGAAACCAACAAAACCTTTAAATGTATTAGTGTTTTATATTATTTTACTTACTGATTTGTATTTAAAAGTTCAGCTCATTAGGGAATAATTAAAATATATCATCATTAAGGAGAAGCTATTCTACAATTAGCAGTAATAGGACTTGAGATAATAGCAACAGGACTAAATTTCTTTTACTACCTGCATCTGTAAGTCTCTTCACCAACTGGGCAACAGTGGATCTCTTTTGACCAATAGCAACATAGATACAGTACAGCTTCTTCTTTTCATCAGATCCATCATTGAAACGTTTCTGGTTAATGATTGTGTCAATAGCAATTGAGGTTTTCCTTTAAAAAGATAAAGTAAACGTAAATCTTCCTAAACTTAAAAGGTAAAACTTTACTACTATTAATCCTCATATTACATTCTAATGTCCCCATTACCATTTACCATTCCAAGACTAAAATGTAATCCTTCCATTGAGCAAATTTTAGTTAGCACTTTTAATATGCTTTTGAGTCTTTACCCAGTCTGTCGGTCACCAATAATCAGCTCACGCTGACCACGACCAATTGGCACCAAGCTATCCACAGCCTTAATGCCAGTCTGCATTGGTTCCCGCACTGAAATTCGAGGAATGATACCAGGGGCTTTCAGACCAACTCGCCTACGGGTCTTGGAACCAATTGGACCCTGTTAAAAAAATGAAAAGAAAAACCCTAAGCATAATCAGTTCTGATGTTTGTTAAAAGCTGCAACTATATCTAATCAACATTAAACCTACCTTTCCATCAATAGCATTACCAAGAGCATCAACTACACGACCCAACAGCTCCTCACCAACTGGAACGTCCACAATGGCTCCTGTCCTCTTCACTATATCTCCTTCCTTAATCAGTTTATCATTTCCAAACACGACAACACCAACATTGTCAGATTCCAAGTTCAAGGACATACCCTGCACAAAAGACACAACTGAACATCAACGAAGCTGAATGGGCACTCCTCCCCATACACCAATACTACCTAAGAAAATAGCCAGGGGGGAAAAGCAGTATTGTCCTTTTCACCTGGTTTATTCTTTAGTACTTTTCCAACTAAATAACCCTCTCTGATTGAGACATTTAAAATAGCAACATATTCCCTTGAATAATCTTAGGACAGCACATTGATAAGCCTAATATGCTATCATATCCTCAAATAACTGTTACAGAAGCAAAGAAATTGGACAGGTTAATAAGCTTTTTCCACTGCATTTTCTTTGGCAATGACTCTTGGGCTGGGTGATCAGTATGAAATAAAGTGATGGAAATCTTAAGACAAATGTGATTATCATCTTTTTTATGTGTGAGAAGCTCCATAAACAGTTTCAAAAATTAATCAAAACCTGTACTCTCTGGGTTAGTAGAAAGTGAAATTAAAAGCTACCTAACTGAAACCAATCAAATACAAATTTTTCGTAACCTAACAGCACCAAATCACCTCTCATCATTATAACTATATTTTAGATCCTTAAATCATGTCTGAAGCAAAAAGGCTATTCCAGGAATAGTCTGGTCAGTAATGAAAACTCTGGAGAAGTACTTGGAGTATCATGGAATATCATTACAGGTCCAAAAACTGTAATCTACATCTCTGATGTTCAATACAGCATCCACTAACCACATGTGGCTATTTAAATTTGTCAAATTTAAAAGATGAAAAATTCAATTCCTGTCACATTAGACATATTTTACATGATTAATAGTGATAGTAGGTACCATATTAAACAGATGTATTCTCATCACTGCAGAATACTATGTATGTCCAATACTATTGGACAGTATTGTTCTAGACACTTGGATTTTAAAAGCTAAAAGGGGAACTTGGAATTAATTTGTTTCGACCTCACCTTTCAAAAATACTGTATACTGAAGATGTTAAACTGGCCAATGTCTTACAGCTCATGATAACTTTGGGCTCTGTATTTAAGTCTTCCACATCAAGTGGCTCTTTTTCCATAGTAGACATTAGCAAGAGTATCAAGACTATCTTTTCCCATACCTGTGTGCCTACTAAACAGTTCTACTCTCTAGTTTATCCAGATGTCATCCTCTGCTTTCCCTAACTCCTACAACTTATGTCTCATACCACTGACAGATGAGACTCAACCCAACAGAAAGCAGACTTACATCATTAGAGAGCTTCTGATAGCTACACCAAAACTCGCCTTTGAACAATAGGTCTACTCACTAGAAATACAAAGTCACGAACTTCCAACTTTCCACCAGAAAAATTCTGTTGAAGTTATCAAATGCTTTGCTTTTGTATAAAATAATCTTAACAGCAAGAAAGAACAGACTTGAACTTCTTGGATTTGCAGTTAAAGTTTACTCAATTTTATATTTTGGAGCCAGTGGCTACAAGTTATATATAAATCAGTCCCTAGAGTAAAAAAAAAAACCTGGCAAATTCAAACCCTTAAGTTTATTCTCTTTACGATATATGATAATAACAAGAAAAAAAATCTGAGGCAAATTGAGACAAAGTTTTTAAAAAATCTGACACAATCTCTGATGCACTAAATGAATAACTGAGAAGACTTAAGATACCAAAATCTTATTTTATAATTTACCTTTAAGCCTGAAGAAAACTCTACCATTTCTTCTGCCTGAACATTCCTCAGCCCATGTACGCGGGCAATACCATCACCAATACTTAAGACACGCCCAGTTTCTTCAAGGTCAACAGAGATATCAGCTCCAAGAATACGCTCTTCAAGAATAGAGGACATCTCAGCAGTCCCTATGGAAGACATTTCAACTCAATTACAAAAATTATCTGGGCCAGGCGCGGTGGCTCACACCTGTAATCCCAGCACTTTGGGAGGCCGAGGCGGGCGGATCACCTGGTCAATCTCAAAAAAATAAAAATAAAAAATAAAAACCAACTGTGTGTCTTTAACACTTTAACAAAGTGTGTCTTTCTCTTTCAAGGCACACAGGGTAGTATAGGTGGTATTCTTCATTTTAGCATATAGGGGTCAGGTGCAGTTGCTCACGCCAGTAATACTAGCGCCTTGGGAGGCAGGCGGACCACTTGAGGCCAAGGGTTCGAGACCAGCCTGGCCAACATAGCGAAATCCCATCTCTACTTAAAAAAAAAAAAAAAAATTAGCCAGCTGTGGTGGTGCATGCTTGTAATACCAGCTACTCGTGAGGCTGAGGCAGAAGAGAATCACTTGAACTCAGGAGGCGGCGGTTCCAGTGAACCAAGACTACGCCACTGCACTCCAGTCTGGGTAACAGAGCAAAACTCTGTCTCAAAACAAAAACAAAACAAACAAACAAAAACATCCCAGCACTTTGGGAGGCCAAGGTGGACAGATCACCTGAGGTCAGGGCTTTGAGACCAGCCAGGCCAACATGGTGAAACTCTCTACTAAAAATACAAAAATTAGCCGGGTGTGCTAGTGCACGCCTGTAATCTCCGCCACTAGGGAGGCTGAAGCAGGAGAATCACTTGAACCAGGTAGGTGGAGGTTGCAGTGAGCCAAGATCCCACAACTGCACTCCAGCCTGGGCAACAGAGTCTCAAAAAAAAAAAAAAAAAAAAAAAAAAAAAAAAAAAAAGGAGGCCAGGCACGGTGCCTCACACCTGTAATCACACCACTTTGGAAGGCCAAGGCAGGTGGATCACCTGAAGTCAGGAGTTCAAGACCAGCCTGGCCAACATGGTGAAACTCCGTCTCTACTAAAAATACAAAAATTAGCGGAGTGTGGTGGCGGGCACCTATAATCCCAGCTACTCAGGAGGCTGAGGCAGGATAATCACTCCAACCCGGGAGGCAGAGGTTACAGTGAGCCCAGATAATGCCAATGCACTCCAGCCTGGACGACAAGAGCAAAACTCCATTTCAAAAAAAAAAAAAAAAGAACATATATATGCTGAGTGTGTGGGTGTGTGTGTACACATACACGTATACATACACACACTCACACACACATATATATATATTTAACCTTTATTTTGAAAGTCCATATACTCATCTCCAAAGAAATTCCCCAACCTATAATGTCTTCCTATGCTCACCTCCCCATTTCCCTACCACATCTGTAATGTGCAAGTTCACAGACTGCCAAATATCTAGCAGCTACTGCCTTTGAAAAATAAAACCTATCATTAGGAACTTACATGTTTTCTGGCACAAGTATACATATGTAACAAACCTGCACGTTATGCACATGTACCCTAGAACTTAAAGTATAAAAAAAAAAAAAACAACAAAAAAAGAAGTTACATGTTTTCTAACACTTTTTCAAAGAGGAAAAAAGAAGTCTTTCACAGGTCAGAAAGATTCCATTACCTAGTATATGGTCCTTCCGTTTCTACCCAAGGGCCATTATCAGAACAAAGAAGCTGTACTAACATCAAAAGAAAAACATGTAACTGTAGTTCATTTGATTACAACAAGAGAACCACGACAGGGCTAAATGGCACACAATGGTTTAAGAACCTGAGAGTATATACAAACTAAAGAAAAAACTAACAAATGAAAAACAACCCACAACAGTTACATGATGTATGTAATTTTGATCTTCATCTAGTGTGATAATTTGTATCTTCATCTAGTAAGTGCAGTGTAGACTGAGAAATAGTGACTTACCAGTCTTCTGAAGATGAGTGTTAGAGGCATGGAGGTTCCTTGCAGCAATGAAAGATGAACCCAAAGCATTTCTGGAGACCTAGTGCAAAAGTATTCTTAAAAATTTGAATTTTAACAGAGCCTTTATAAAACTGACAAGCTTAAACAAATGCCAGCTTAGTATGATCAAAGTACTGGTGAAAATACTTATTATATATAAAGCATTTTGTTTAAAATGTTAAATGAAATGAAGTACCTTTTGATATACGCGAAAACCTTTTATACAGCTCCTAGTACACAGTAAACACTCACATATTTTTAAAATGCAGTCTGTATTTTATTACTATTTTTTTGAGACGGCTCACTGCATCCTCCACCTCCTGGGCTCAAGCAATTCGCCTGCCTCAGCCTCCCGAGCATCTGGGATTACAGGGGTGTGCCACCACCACCCGTTCAACTTTTTATATTTTTGGTAGAGATGGGGTTTCACCATGCTGGCCAGGCTGGTCTCCAACTCCTGACCTCCAGTGATCTACCCGCCTCAGCCTCCCAAAGTGCTGGGATTACAGGCGTGAGCCACCCCCGACTTACTTTTATTTTTTGGGACAGGGTCTCACTGTCACCCAGGCTGGAGCGCAATGGTGCAATCACGGCTCACTACAGCCTTGACTTCCTGGGCTCAAGTGATCCCACCTCAGCCTTCCCAGTAGGTGGGACCACAGGAGTACACCACCTGGCCAGGCTAATTTTTCTATTTATTTTTTTTTGTAGAGACAGGATTTCACTGTGTTGCCCAGACTGTACTCTATATATATATATATATGTATATATATATATATAAAAAAATATATATAAATATATAATATATAGATTTAACATACATAAATATATATACATAGTATAAATATATATAAAAATGCATAAATATATAAAATATATAGATATAAAATACATAAATATATATACATAGTATACATATATAAAAATACATATATATACACATATATATATTATATATATAAATACACACACACGCACACACATATATACACATACACATAATCTTTTCCCCCCCCCAGACGGAGTCTCACTCTGTCACTCAAGCTGGAGTGCAGTGGCAAGATCTCTGCTCACTGCAACCTCCACCTCCCAGGTTCAAGCGATTCTGGTGCCTCAAGCCTCCTGAGTAGCTGGGACTACCAGTGACCACAACCACGCCCCGTTAATTTTTGTATTTTTAGTAGAGACAGGGTTTCGCCAGGCTGGCCAGGCTGATCTCAAACTCCCGACCTCAGGTGATCCACCCACCTTGGCCTACCAAAGTGCTGGAATTACAGGCCTGAGCCACCGCGCCTGGCCTTGCAGTATTTTAAAAAGCAACTGTTGGCAGGGCGCGGTGGCTCACACCTGTAATCCCAGCACTTTGGGAGGCCACCAAGGCGAGTGGATCACCTAAGGTTGGGAGTTCGAGACCAGCCTGACCAACATGGAGAAACTCCGCCTCTACTAGAAATACAAAATTAGGTGGGCGTGGTGACACATGCCTGCAATCCCAGCCACTCGGGAGGCTGAGGCAGGAGAATCGCTTGAACCTAGGAGGCGGAGGTTGCAGTGAGCCGAGATCCCGAGATGTCCCAGCCTGGGCCACAAGAGGAAAACTCCGTCTCAAAGAAAAAAAAAAAAAAAAGCAACTGTTAACAAAACCTAAGTGTCTTTCCCTTTAAAGGTACCCAATTTTTATTATTTTGACTTAAGATGTCAATGTATTTCCAATTTTACTTAAAAAAAAAAAAAAAAAACACAACAACAAGCGACCAGGCACGATGGCTCACGCCTGTAATCCCAGCACTTTAGAAGGCCGAGGCAGGCGGGTCACCTGAGGTACGGAGTTCGAGACCAGCCTGGCCAACATGGTGAAACCCCGTCTCTACGAAAAAATACAAAAAGTAGCAGGGCATGACGGTGGGTGCCTGCAATTCCAGCTACTCGGGAAGCTGAGGCGGGAGAATCGCCTGAACCCGGGAGGCGCGGGTTGCAGTGAGCCAAGATCACGCCATTGCACTGCAGCCTGGGTGACTGAGCGACACTCCGTCTCAAAAAAAAAAAAAAAAAAGCAAATAAAAACCTAATAAATGCTAGAGTTAGATTAGAAACTAAGAGTTATGGGATGTGGACTTATTTTACTCTCTCAACAAATTCTGCAGCCACCTGGAACTTCCTTTTGTTTCTTTCCTTCAAGTTTTAAGGCTGCGACTGGTTACTGTCAATTCTGAAGCTACTACCTTCCATAGGAGCCAGATGAAAACCGTTAAAAATGCATTTTTGTTAACAGAAAACCATGATGCTACCAGCAGTTGTTAAGGCAGAAAAACAGCCAACATGTTTATTTCAACTTTCAAATTCAGATTACTTTTAAAACAAAAAAAAAGTGTCAGCGTCAATGCGTTTACACTGAAATGTTAATTTCAAGGGAAACAACCAAGGGCATTAACTCTTACAGCCATTTTCCAACCTTGTTCTCTTTTACTTGAATTCTCAATCACTAAAAATTACTCAAAACCAGGTGGAAAACTCTAGGACAAATTATTTAAACACGTTCAAGTGCCACAAAGCACACTCTCTTGCCGGAGAGACAATTAAGAAACCAGCTTCACTGCTGCCACAGCGCTGGCCACATGAAATGGTTCTTTGCACCTGCACGATGTTTTCACGGTCGTTTCGTATTCAGCACTAAGAGAAAGCCTACTTAAGTATTCCAAACACCACCTCCATTTATTCCTTTCCTCTAAACTGAGCTCCAGGCAAAGGTGAAATGCTGCTGACCTTCACACAATGTCAGACTTCCATGACTAGCTTCAGCAAGAGCTGACAGCAGTTTCCTGACCTTCAGCAGGACGCGACCCTAAGAATCCGCCGAGGAACCTCACCGATTCGGAAAAGGCCTCGGAGAGATAGCGCCCAAGCCCTGACCTTCACCCAAGACCCTACTTCTCGGGCCGCTCTCAGTCGAAGACAGGAATCTTGAGGCCTTCTATCTGGACACCGTCGAGTTCACTGTCTGCCCTGTACCATTCTGCCTCACTCTGCGCAGGCAGCGAGCAAAAGGGGACCTCTGTCGCCCGCTCTGCACAGCCCCAAAGCCACGGGTGCAAGATGGCGGCATCCGCCACAGCCCCTCGCCCTCCTGCAGAAAGAGCGCCCGAGCCGGCGCACCACCACCCTGCAGCCCCGCCCGGCCGCCTCCACCATGCCGGCCCTCGGTGCTCACCAGTCCGGCCCGCCGAGGGAGGGCGCGGACCACGGCCGCAGCAACGCGTACGGACAGCATCTTTGCAGTTTCTCCGCAGGCGTTACCTCTGCAGCCGCAGCCTCCGGACTGACTGGGACAAAATGGCCGAGCCGCAAAGAAGGTCAAGACAGCCGGCCCACCTGACCCGGAAGTACTGCCCCTCGCGTTCACCACCGCTCTCCCCCGCCCCCCGGGGCCACTCTGCATTTTTTGGCAGGTTACTTATTTTTTAAGTAACATTTTTAAGTTTAAACCTCAAAATGAATGATTAGATATATTCCAGCTTTGTCCTGGCATTCGTTATACATTTATTTTTGTCTTTTGGGTCGACCTTGTGGTTGCCCCAGGTGACCACGTGGGTAGCGGAACCTGCTAAGCAGCAGTTCCCAGGCCCCATCCGGTGCTAGATGATGAGGGCCTCACCCCGTCGGGGGCCCGGCAGTCTTGAGCACCAGGGCCATTAATAGTGTCGGTAATGTTAGACCGCGGTTTAGCACGAGTAGCAACAGTGAACAGCTAAACCCCGGGACTGGCCACCAGCAGGGCGTCTCCCACAGAGCCCTTTAATCTGCAGGTCGCTAGCCCCACCTCAGACCCTCTGAGTAGAAAATTTGGGGCAATCTTTATTTTTAACAAACACCTGCACTGTTCCAGGTGATCCGATCTGCACTCAGGTTAAAGATTCCCAGCTTTTTTAGATTCATTCTAAAAGAATCCTGTCAGTGAATTAGAGCAAACTGTTTAAAAATCCTGATAACTGGGGGAGGGAGAGCATCAAGATAAACAGCTAATACATGCGGAGCTTAATACCTAGGTGATGGGATGATAGGTGCAGCAAACCACCGTGGCACACGTTTACCTATGTAACAAATCTGCACGTCCTGCACATGTATCCCAGAACTTAAAAAAAAAAAATCACAAGGAGGCCTAGTACAGCGATTGCCAGTCCTACTGAGAATTGTCCAGAATCAGAAGTCTTACACCAGGACAGGACAAGGACTCACTTTTTCCTCTGCCAACATCTAGTTTCATGCCATTGGGAACTCTACTTCTTCATTTGGACTAAAAGGGAGATGATGAAAAAATGCTTTCTATGCTTACCCTGATGGGCTTTTTTTTTTCTCCACATAATTACTATACTGAGATTGTTGTGATATATGCAGGATTTGTGTGTATGTGTGATGCTGGTTATGTCATAGTGGGGACTTATTAACGTTGCCTTCACTTTTCTATTTTTTCATTTATTTTATTTTATTTAAGACGGGCTGTCACTCTGTTGCCCAGGATAGAGTGCAGTGGGTTTATCACCATTCATTGCAGCCTCGAACTCCTGGGCTCAAGCAGTCTTCCGACCTCAGCCTTCCAAGTAGCTGGGACCACAGCAGTGCACCACCACACCTGGCTAATTTTTTTGTAAAGCCGGCAGGGGGTGGGGGTGTCTCACTATGTTGCCCAGGCTGGTCTCAAACTCCTGGCTTCAAGTGATCCTCCCTCCTCAGCTTCCCAAAGTGCTGGGATTACAGGCGTGAGCCACCACGCCTGGTCCACTTTTCACTGTTTGGAGAAGCATTTTCAGCTCCATCCCCCAAATCCTGGCTTACACCTAAAACCTGAATTTGGGTGAGGCAAATGAATATCCGGGCTACAAGGGTCATCTCCTGAAACATGGCTTGTAAGCATGTAATTGGCCATCCTTTTCTCTAGTATTCTACTAACTTTTCAAGGTAAGCCATGGGGAAATAGAGCAACAATTTTCCTGGGAATCAGGGGTAGAAAAAGGCTGTCCAAGTTGGGTGCAGTGGCTCACACCTGTAATTCTAGCACTTTGGGAGGCCAAGGTGGGTGGATCACCTGAGGTCAGGGCTTTGAGACCAGCCTGGCCAACATGGTGAAACCCCATCTCTACTGAAAATAGAAAAATTAGTCAGGTGTGGAGGTGGGCACCTGTAATCCCAGCTACTGGGGAGGCTGAGGCAGGAGAATTACTTGAACCCAGGAGGCGGAGGTTGCAGTGAGCCAAGATCGCACCACTGTCCTCCAGCCTGGGCAATAAGAGTGAGACTCCATCTTAAAAAAAGAAAGAAAGAAAGAAAGAAAAAGGCTATCCAAGTAAAATAAAATACAGAGACGAATTCTCCAAATTTAAAATATTTAGGAAGCAATAATTGCCATTCAGGGCATACACACAAACAGGGTGGTCTTTGGTATGTCAGAAGAACAAAGAGATGGTTAGAGGTTTTATTTTTGCAAAAGAGAAATGTAGCCAGAAACAGTGGCTCATGCCTGTAATCCCAACACTTTGGGAAGCGAAGATGAGTGGTTCACTTGAGCCCAGGAGTTTGGGGCTGCAGTGAGCTGTGATCACACCAGTACACTCCAGCCTGGGCAACAAAGCAAGACCCTATATCAAAACAAAAACAAAAAAAGAGAACTGTTACATATTGCTCTTTAAGAAAGTTCATTGTCACTAGTAAGGTTTTGGGGAGCTGGCAAGTTTTGATTGGCAAGTGATGGCAACTAGGTAAAACGATTCTTAGGGTCACTGCAGGTTGTTTTAGCAGTTAATTAGATAAAACTGGTTTAGGTTACAGCAGGCAGTTTCAGCAGTCAGGCTTGTAGATAATTACATTTTTGGAGCAATGTTATGTGCCCTGAGTACTTTTTTTCCCTTTACCTCTCGAAACGGTTTTAGTTGGGGATGACAAGAATGACCCAATCAACTTTCACAAGCTAACAGGAAAAAAATATAGTTTATAAAAACAACAAGGCTGGGCGTAGTGGCTCACACGTTATCCTAGCGTGTTGGGAGGCTGAGGCAGGCAGATCGCCTGAGGTCAGGAGTTCAAGACCAGCCTGGCCAACATGGCAAAACCCTGTCTCTACTGCAAATTCAAAAATTAGCTGGGGGTGGTGGTGCATGCCTGTAACCCCGGCTACTCGGGAGGCTGAGGAAGGAGAATCGCTTGAACCCGGGAGGTGGAGGTTGCGGTGAGCCAGGTGGAGGTTGCAGTGAGCCGAGATTGCGTCATTGCACTTCAGCATGCACGATGGGAGTGAGACTCCATCTCAAGATAACAACAACAACAACATTAGTCGGCATGGTGGCTCACACCTGTAATCCCAGCACTTTGGGAGGCTGAGGCAGGTTGATCACTTGAAGTCAGGAGTTCAAGACCAGTCAGGTCAACATAGTGAGATCCCCGCACCCCCTGCCCCGTCTTTACTAAAAATACAAACATTAGCTGGGCATGGTGGCACATGCCTATAATCCCAGCTATTTAGGAGGCTGAGGCATGAGAATCACTTAAACCTGGGAGGTGGCGGTTGCAGTGATCACTGCACTCTAGCCTGGACAACACAGTGAGATTCTGTCTCAAAAAAAAAAATACAGGGATATTTTGTAAAATTTGTAGTGATAAAAGTGGACACAAGACATAAAGATAACTTTTTTTGCCCCATACTGAAGGGCTGCACCAGTTTATCTGAAATTTGGTTACAGAGCAGAGATATATTTAGTTTTTGTTTTGTTTTGTTTTTTGTTTTGAGGCAGGTTCTCACTTTGTTGCCCAGGCTGGAGTGCAGTGTCTCAATCTCTACTCACTGCAAACTCTACCTCCAGGGTTCAAGTGATTCTCTTGCCTCAGCCTCCCGAGTAGCTGGGATTACAGGCATGTGCCAACGTGCCTGGCTAATTTTTGTATTTTTAGTAGAGATGGGGTTTTGCCATGTTGGCCAGGCTGGTCTTGAACTCCTGACCTCAGGTGATCACCCGCTTCAGCCTCCCAAAATGCTGAGAATATAGGCATGAGGCACTGCGCCCAGCCAGAGCAGAGATATATTTGAAGCAAAAAGAATAAGCAACACAGGTTGGGTGTGGCGCCTCATGCCTGTCATCCCAGCATTTTGAGAGGCCCAAATGGGAGCATCACTTGAGGCCAGGAGTTCAAAAACAGCCTGGGCAACATAGCGAGACCCTCTTTCTACAAAAAAATACAAAAAGTTAGCTGGGTGTAGTGGTGCACACATGTAGTCCCAGCTACCCCGGAGGCTGACGTGGGAGGATTGCTTGAGCCCAGGAGTTCAAGGTTGCAGTGAACTATGATCACCACTGTACTCCAGCCTGGGCGAAAGAGCAAGACCCTGTCTCTAAAAATAAAATAAAATAAATAATAAGTAAGCTTGGCTTGCTAGTAAGTTTCCTTTGAAAAGAAAATCATTTTAGGCTAAGCGCATTGGCTCACACCTGTAATCCCAGCGCTTTGAGAGGCTGAGGCAGGCATATCACTTGAGGTCAGGAGTTTGAGACCAGCCTGGTCAATATGGTGAAACCCCCGCTCTACTAAAAATAAAAAAATTGGCCATGCATGCTAGCGCAAGCCTGTAATCCAAACTACTAGAGGGGCTGAGACAGGAGAATTGCTTGAACTCCGGGGGCGGAGGTCTCAGTGAGCCAAGATCATGCCACTGTGCTCCAGCCTGGGGAACGGAGAAAGACGCCATCTCAAAAAGAAAAGAAAATGCCATGCGCTGTGGCTTACGCCTGTAATCCCAGCACTTTTTTGGGAGGCCGAGGAGGGCGGATCACGAGGTTGGGAGTTCAAGACCAGCCTGGCCAATGTGGTGAAACCCCATCTCTACTAAAAATACAAATATTAGCAGGCGTAGTAGCATTTGCCTGTAGTCCCAGCTACTTGGGAGGCTGAGACAGAAGAATCGCTTGAACCCGGAAGGCAGAGGTTGCAGTGAGCCGAGATCGTGCCACTGCACTCCAGCCTGGGCGACACAGCGAGACTCCATCTCCAAAATAAAAAAAAAAAGAAAAAAAGAAAATCATTTTAAATATGCAAATGACTTAGGAGGAAGATATTTGGTGCTAAACCTGATCCACAATTTGATATTAAACCACACTTGACAGAAAGTTGAGTATATGATCCTTCCTTTAGCTATCCTCTTTTCCTAGTAACACAGTACCCAATAGGAGGTTGCTGATGGCAGTGTGGAGACGGAAACACTCAAATGGAGCCAGAACGTTTCGGTCACCTTCCAACTCTACTACCTAATCTTGATCAAGTCATTTAATCCTTGTGTATATGTTTTATGTAAAAATGGGTAAAATAATACGTGTCCA